GCTAGCGGAGGGCGGTCAGCGGTGCCCCTGCAGCACCGTCCTTGGGGCCGGGTGAAGCGGTTAAGCGTGTACCCGGTTCGCCGCCTCCTGCGCGCTTCTGCATTGTTACACCTTCCTACATCCCTGTGTGACCGAGACACCGGCACGGTACGGTGTTCCCCGCTTCCCCCATCAGTGAAATCCGTGCCGGGAGTGCACCGGGTTCCCGAAGCAAAACCCTGCTAGCTCATAGACCCGGAGCCGTCAGGGCTCCTTTTCTGCAGGGCACTGTTGCAAAGCCCAGCCAGTTCGTAGACCCGCGGCCGCTCTTTGTTTTGAGCTGTCACCCCGTGCTGTTGTACGGGATTCGACTGCTGACCAAACAAAAATAAGGTTCGCAGGGAGGTGTAGCTTCTAAAATAAGAAAAGTATTGGGAATCTTGACCGTGACGCAGACAAGACTCCCAAGCTCCCTAGGATACAGCAGCAGCCCAACGCTCTGGGGTTCCTCAGGCGTCTGGAAAACAAGGGGTGAACCGCCCTGTAGACATACCCTTCCCCTGTGCTCCCCTGTGACATTGGCGTTATCCTTGAGGGAAATGGAGCATCCCTGTTTACGAGGCAGGGTTTAGCGATAGCGGGGTGAGGTGGCAGTGTGGAGGAACACGGGAGTTCCCTGCCGGGGCTGTGTTTGAGTGCCCCGCTCTGCCCTTTGCAGATAAGGATGGCGCCTGCTGAGGAACTCGGTGCCTCCCTCGGAGCAGGTAGACTGCGAGCTTTGACCTGGCAGAGGCACGTGTACCCAGACCTTTGTCAAATGGGTGTTGTCTGGCACTAGCACGGGTGTTTGGTGAGGTCTTTTCCTCACGTTGCTGGCCCTGTGCCCCCCTTGCAATTCTCCTTGCTCCAAAAACCCCCAATCCTGAACGCGTGCTGTGCTGCAGGGAGGATTTACTGGAACAGAAAATAATCTGTGCAGGAATGATGGCTGTGGTGGGGCGTAGGGGCACTGGTGCCCAGGAATGTGAGAAGCAGCCTCTGTGCAGTGGACATGTCACACGGCTGCTTGGCCTGACTTCTGCCCCGCCAGGCAGGGGTTCCTCAGCTGCGCGCTCTTTGTGGTGTTGGTGGCGGTTTCCTCGGTAGAAAAAAATCAGATATTAAAGAGGAAATGGGCCAGTGAAGCTGCTGCAGAAATGCTGAGAGGGCTGTTACAGCTGGTAGAAATAATGAAAATTTGTCTACCTGCAAGCAGTGATCTTTTTCCAGGGTTGTATAACAGCACTGCCTTTATCTCTGAGGAGGTGATGCCTGATGTGGGGAGCTCCAGCCCCAACCTTTCATGCTAGCTCAGTTGACCAAGGACCCTACAGACACCAGTGTTTTTATTCCTCCAGAGGAAGCCAGCACATGGTCGGTCCTTGTAAAGTTTTTAATCCTTCCTGATGTGTGGAGTTGTCCTGAGTTGTCTGTGAAGAGGCTCTAGATAGCAGTGCAGGCATGAACCAGAGAGGGTGCGGAGTGTAATTTATTTGAACAGTTGAGTGGCTTTCACTGTTGAAATATTTGTGTGAAATACCAAGTGTTTTTACATTGGCTTTTGAAATGCTGAGCCTTGGAGACAAACTCCAGTGAAGTGAAAACAACCTTCTCTTGCTTATAAGCAAGAAAAAGGAGCCTGTGAAAAGCCAGAACTGCTCTCGGGTCCATCTGAGGACAAAAAGCTGTTTCATCTGAGGGATTCTCAAGTGTGTCAGCTAGCAAGATGCGGCAGGACAGAGACTGCAAATAGCAGCCTAGCAGTCAGAGTTTAGCTGCTGCTAGAAACACTGCAAAAGCTTGCAGTTGGACAAATGGTGCTCAGTAGGCTAACCAGGCTGCAGTGCTATTTCTTTCTCTTGCCCCCTTCCCTTCTGCGTCGTGAGCACCTCCCAGCTCTTCCTTTCTGTGCCTCTGGCACGCAGCCTGCGTGAAGTCTTTCTCCCTGCCCTATTTCTGTCCCTAACCTAGCTTGTTTGCATTCCAGCTCCACAGTGCTGTAAGAGCCTGGCTTTGCTCTGGCTCCAGATGAGCACTGCTCAGAGGGTGGCCAGGGAAGCCCTCCCTGGGCCTCCCTGTGCCCTCTCCCCACTGCCCTGTCCTGCACCGTGGCTTGTTGCTCCATCCTTTGGTTCTGCCATTTCATTTTGACTTGGATCAGAGGAGGCTGATAAGAGGGAAGAAGGGGATGGGAGGTCAGCCCTTGAAAACAAATGGAAAGAAGCAAGCTTGAGGGAGGGAGGGAAAGGAGTGTGCCCGGGAACACGTGATGGCTAGGTCTGGTGGTGCTGGGTCATGGCGTGGCTCACATGGCAGCGGTGCATGTCTGCTTGTTATGTCACTACATGCCGCCTTTTTTTTCTTGCCTTAGGGGGTGTGATAGCTTACATCAGCTCTTCAAGCTCGGCATCTAGCCCAGCCTCATGTCACAGCGAGAGCTCAGACAGCGGTTTCCAGTCGTCCTCTTCGCCTGTACCATCTTCTCCAAACAGCTCCTCCTCGGAGAGCGGCTGCAGCGGCCGAGGCAGCGAGGGCTCTGATGGGGCACCAAAGAGCGATCGGCTCGAGGAGACTATTAAAACAAACCAGTCGAGTGTTGCTGGCTTGACAAAAGGCCATAATGGAGTCACAAGTATGTTTGGTGCCAGTTCCTATAACCACCATTTCCCCTCTGTATGTTACAGCCCTGTCTATTACAAACAGGTCTTCTGTGTGGTTTGCTGCGAAGGCATTTCTGTGATTTTCCATAAGCATGGAACTAAAGAATAGTCCTGTAAAATGCATTCAGCTGTCTAGCTCCAGCTACTTATTGGTGCTGTTTTGGTAATTGGAGGAGATCAGTGATAAAGAACTACATTTAAACAGTTTTGGAAGGGAAGGAATCAAACTGAGTACAGGAATGAGCAGTTTAACACGCACTTCGCTGCAATTTAGACTAGTCTTTTGAAGACTGAATTATTGCAAAATTGTTTTATCATTTTGAATTGGTATGAATCTAGAATAAACATCTAACAGTTCTACCTTAAAAGTCTCTCCCCCATCTTTTTTTTTTTTTTTTTCCTTAGAGTGTTCCTACCCTAAGTTCTTCGTAAGAACATTTACTTCCTCTTAAAGATTTGCTAGCAACTATGGTTTTGGCGTCAGGGCAGAGGTTCCTGAAGGTGAAACCTGTTGTAAACTGTTCAGATGGATGGATGAATGGGCGGATATATAGATAGATAACATTTGTAGCTCAGTACTAGCTATGTAAAGAAAAAAATAAAAAAAAAAAAAAGGAGATTTTGTGGTTTGGTTCTTTTTCAAAACCATGAAAAATAAGTTTTGGTTCCTTTTTACAAATGAAACCCAAATGTCAGATAAATTATTTTTCCTGGTAGAATATGTTTTTCTGCAGGAGTATTTCCAGCTGTCTCTGTTGCTCACTGTTAAGGTAATTTTGTGGTTACTGAAGTCACTGGTGAAATTCCCATTGGCTTCAGTGAAACCAGTGTTAGACCAGCACTTAGGACTTACAAAAAGTCTTTACTGAATTTATTGACAAACTGAAATAAAATAGGTGGGGAAAAGCTTAAAAAACCCAAACCATGAGTATATTTACAGGGCTGAGATAGTACTTTCAAGTTCAAGTGTGCAAGCATACCATTCTGGATATGCACTCAATTGAGTAGTCTTTACATATGTAGATGTGGCTGAGTTACCAGTCCTAAATTGTTACCAGATAGGAAGAGCATATGGCTTGTTTACAATACGTAATAAAATAAAGTGTCCTTTAGTAGTTCTATTTTAAAGCAAATATGTTAATTCTCTGTTGAGGAAACTGTAGCCTTTATATGGGCTTACTTTGTCCTGATGGAAAAACAAATTGAGCCTGATTTTTGGTGGCCTAGTTAACTAAATAGTCCCTTTAAAACTGTGTGAATGTAAGCAGACTTTCTATGGGTCAGTACAATGCTACTGTGATTGAAAGTCCAGTGAATACATGCTTTCTCTCTATTCTGTTGAGTGCTTCATATTTGTCTTCCTCCTGCAGCCCTGCCCCTCTCTTGCACTGGTACCTTCTGAACTGGTGAGGGATTTTTGACGTTCTTGTTTGTTCCTCTGCTGTATTTTTTTGTACGTTGAACTGACTTGACGTATTTTGCTTTCAGTTTAGGTTTTAAAAGCTGGAAACGCACTCTTTCAGTTGTCGTTGGTTTTCTATATCCATGACTTTTCTGTTCTGATTCTAGAATTTAATGGCATGGTTCTTCTTTGCAAAGTCTGTGGAGACGTCGCTTCAGGATTTCATTATGGTGTTCATGCCTGTGAGGGCTGCAAGGTGAGCTATGTTTCTGCTCACCTTTCTGCTGGTGAAATGCTCAGGTTCTCCCCATAGGGGAAAGGGGGTGATACTGACAAAAAAATATTGGTATGCTTCTCTATTCAACTTAAATCTAAGAAATTTCAGACAGTGTATAAGTTGTAGGAAAAGGGAAACCACTTAGCAAGACACAGCATCTTCCGAACTCTGCAATGCTTTCTGTTCTTGCCCCTGCGTGACCTGGGGTGCGCAGCAGAGAACAAGACCTGCAGACAGGTGGTAAGGACCATGTCATGCCAGACATGTGAATGTTAATTGCATTAAGAGATAGTGGGTGTGAGTCATCATCTGGGCTAGGACACAGAACAAAACAGGTTCAGAAAGGCAGTTCTTTATCACAGGGAAAGCCGGAACTATGTGCTTGCGTGTTCATGCATCAGTAGATCTGTATTTTCTAATGCTTTAACACTGAAAATGCTGTGTTCTGTGACAGAGTTTATCAGCTTAAGGGTTATGTGAAAGAACCACCTTTGAAGGTCATATGGTGCAACAGGATGGTTTTTTTGCCAGACTGTGGAGATTGAAGTCAAAAGATGATTTTGACTTTCATCTTTGCCCTGATAGCATGGGAGATTGAGTGCATATCTTGGAAACTGTCAGTTAAGTGATAGAGGTAATACTGGAGATATTTTGCTCTTAGCTGCTGACTATGCAGGAAACAACTTAGCATCTTCTATAATTAGAAATCATAACTAGTTTGCATTATGCATAGATCACACACAAAGTATGTCATGAGGAGTAGCAAGTTCTTTCAAATCACTTTGGGCTGATGGCTCTGAAGAAGCTCATGAGAAACAGTGGTGTTTTCTGTGCTTGTGGAGAGGTAAATCTTGGCAGGAGGATTTTGACATGTGTTGTAATAATAGTTCCGGGGTTTTTTTGTTTGCTTACAGGGTTTTTTCAGAAGAAGCATTCAGCAAAACATCCAGTATAAGAAGTGCTTGAAGAATAACAACTGCTCTATAATGAGAATGAATAGGAACAGATGCCAGCAGTGTCGTTTCAAAAAATGCCTGTCTGTTGGGATGTCAAGAGATGGTATGTTCCTGAGCAGTGATCCTCTGAGGGAGAATCTGCTGCCCACCTCAGAACCAATTGCTAAGGGTGTCAATGGCAGATAACACAGCCAGCACTGTTGTCAGGGTCAGGTTCCCTGTCTGGGAGTGTTTAGATCAGCTTGCCTTCTTGCTCCCTGACCCTCCTGAACTGGTAACCTAATACTGTCCCTGGAGGCTAACGCAGTGGGATGCTCTGCAGTGGTCTGTTAGGGGGATGGTTGTAATAAGAGTCTCAATTTTGTTTCAATGAGTTTCTTTTGTTACTGTTGCTTTTTCAAGAAAAGGGACTTCTGCCCAAGCCGATAGCCTTAGGGGTAATCATGATAGAGCCTAAAGAGTTAGGTTTGGGTGCATGGGATGAGCATAGTGAGCTTGTACCTGCTGGAGGTTTATTCCCCGTGGAGGGAGGGGGAAGGCAAGGAGTAAAGGGTAATGTTGAGCTGTGTCTCTGACCACCTTGCTGGTTGTCCACTCCTTGTGACATTTTAAAATGTAATGCTGAAAGTGTGGTTCATTAGTCTGCTACAACTTGATGTCACAAACCAGAACTCTTCCTCCTGTTTCACTTTTTAATTTTCTCAGGGTGTTTATTTCACAAGAACCAGGAATCTTGGGCTGTTAATAATTTAGTGGGTGGAGTGTTAAAACTTATTCTAAATAATTGTTCTGAGTTCTTGTCATGCATAGGAGTTATTTCATCCCTTAGGCGCTTGTTTGCGCGTAAGGTTGCACCTGCTTTAATGAAAGAGAGTTAGTTACATTAATGATGGACTACTGCATGAACATAATTACATCAGTCGAAACTGGTTATAAGCCCTTGTAAGACTGTGGTTGGACAGGATGGTAGAGGCAGGTGTAGTTTCCTTAGGACAGGGTCAAAAATGCTGCAGCCACAATGATGCCCATCCCCTTGCCATCAGAAAATGTCCTTGTCAAGGCAAAGTTATCAGGAAAATGTACCAAGGTAAGTTTCACTCAGCAATGGTTCTCTTGTTTTGGCAAGTTATATAATTGGTCCATGAGGAGCTGTCTTGTAGGACGTATTCAGATATGTTATGAACTGTATTTACATTCAGCTAATTGTCAGGTCACAAAGTTGTACTGGTTTGATTGGTCCAGTCTTAAAGCCCGACAGTTAACTAACACAACCGTTTGTACTCCATAGCCAGGTTTGTAGCAAAAGGGGAAAAGACTTTAGAGATTATATGCTTTAGAGCTGCCTTCTCTTTGTATGTAAACAGCAGCATGCGTTTCATATCTCACACCTATCCTACGCCCAGGATGCTCCTTGACTTCAGGGGTAATACCCCTGCTGTAGTATTGGTGAGAGCAGTTAACGTCTTCCCTTGAAAGGCAGGATTTTTGGTTGGGATGTGTATTCTGTTTGTGTGCATGCTAACACTTTCAGGATTGACCTTCTTTTCCTCTCTTCCCCACCACTTTCGTCTCCCCACCTTGGTAGCTGTTCGATTTGGCCGTATTCCCAAACGTGAAAAACAGAGGATGCTGATTGAAATGCAGAGTGCCATGAAAACCATGATGAACAGCCAGTTCAGCGGTCACTTACCCAGCGAAGCATTAACAGAACATCAAGATCAAGCACCTCAAGAAGACCTTTCCTCCAAGCCCAAGCAAGAGCGGGAAACCATCAAAAGCCCTTCTCCCCCTCCTAGCGCTGACATGGCGAAGGAAGAAGTGATCGGTATGGTCACTAGGGCCCACAAAGACACTTTCATGTACAACCAAGAACAGTCCCAAAACCCAGCAGAGATGATGCAGCCCCAAAGCGGGGAGAGAGTGTCAAAGAATGCTGAGCAGTACGTCTTGAGCAGCAAGCACTGTGTTAGCGGGCTTGGGGGCCCTCAGTACCCTGAAAGTGAGCAGCACCTTGGTGGACAGTACAAAGGGAGAAGCGCAATGCATTATCCAAGCGGGCACACCATGTGTTTCCCAAATGGCCACTGCATGAACTTCACCAGTGGTTACACTCAGCGACTGTGTGATAGGATCCCAGAAGATGGCTTTTCTCCAAACAAGAATACCACTTACTCTTGCAGCACTGGAGGAAGAATGCATCTGGTATATCGATATCAATTGTTTGATTTGACTTAGCGTAAGGCTTAGTGATGGCTGTGATCATCTGTGCCACTTCAGTCAGTGAAGCTGCGCACTATTGGCACAACTACTGAAACTTAAAATAGTGACACACGTTTAATAGTGCAAATTGTGATGAAGGGGAACAATGGCTCAAGTTACGTGGAGGGTTTGAAATCATTCAAGTGAAGGGGGTTCTTGTTTTTTAGCAAACTGAAAATAGACTAACATCAAAGAGCACTGGTTGAAGAAAGCTCACAGTTTTTTTAACTGGCTTGACTTAAATGTGAAAATGGATGTTTATAAATAGAGCTTATAAATTGCCTTCTTCACTCAATCCTCTTGAAGGCTTCACTTTAAGATATCTCTACAATCAGATATGCTGTATTTTCCTTCAAGTCATTTAGAGCAAATATCTGGGGTGAAACCTCAGGGCTAGGATTTTAAGCCAGTCTGCATGGGCTGGTTTTGGTGCTGATTTTTTGTGGGTTTTATTTGTTTGTTTGTTTTGGTTTTGTTTTGGTTTTGGGTTTTTTGTTTGTTTGTTCTTGGGTGGTGTTTTGTTTTTATGGGGCTAGGCTGATTTTACAGGCAGTGTAAAATACAGACTCGGTGGGACCCACAGGCTTCTCCCCTAGAACATCCTCAGCTCTGAACAGAGTCAGGAGGAAGATGCACAGCTAAACTGCTGGAGAGAAGTTGAGGGGTCTTTTCTGTAGTATTTGCTTAAGTGTGACTCTGAAGGCACTTCTAGGAACCTTAGATGACTTTGCTAGAGCATTTTCTCACTGAATTCTTAACAAGGATTTTCTTGCATATAGATTTTGGGTTTTTTCCTCTCCTTAACAGGTCCCTCTGATTTCCCTTGCACCTGCTGTTTCTCTGCCGTTCAGGCGACTGGTTCTGTAAGCCCCTTAAAATAGATTGTCCTTCTCTTTATCACTGGAACTGCCTGGGATGAGAGAACATAACATCCTTGTTCTCATTCTGCGCTCCGATTGAGAAGCATGAGCCCCTGACCTTTCTGAAGTACTTGAGCTGCCATAGTTTTCTTCCTCTTAAGTTTGTAAAGGTTCTTCACATGTTCTTGGAGACCCCTGAAAGTCTCCACACAGTGAAGGCTGCTTATCTTGACGCTGGCTTTTCTTTTTTTGTTGTTTTTCTTTTCCAGTTTTGTTTTGGGTTTTTTTTCCCTTCTTTGGCTACTATCTATGTGAACCATGCCATCCCTAGCAGGCTCTGACTTTAATTGCAGACTCTGGGCAAATAATAATTCCCAACCTTTCTTCCTTGCAGGGAAAGTATATGGAGTCACTGCAATGGCATTCTTTGCACTCCTGAGAAGCAGAGGTTAAACCTGTCAGTATGGGCAGGCAGGGAGTGTCCCTGCCTGCAAGAGGCCCAAACCAGTCAGTTTGACCTGCGCACAGTAGCTGCAGGGAGGTTCAACACAGCTGACGATGAGGAAACAAAACTGAATCCAACAGAGCACTGCAGCCCCCCTCCCTGCATCCCTGATGTGAATGAGGGTTTTGCCAGAGAATCCAGACCAGGATCTGGCTGAAATGAGTCAGTAGTGGTAGGGGAGTGCAGTTAGGCTCTGAACCAGTATAGAGCCAGATGTTCAGGGATTTTGTTTGGTTTTTTTACTCAATACCCCCAAGGAAAAGTAGAACAGGTCATTCCTAAACAGGTTTCTGTAAAGACAACTAGTGACTGTACAAGTTGATACCTGCTTCCAGAGGAAGCCTGTCAGAGTTCACAAGAGAGTCCAGGTGATGCTTTTAGTCCTATGGTTTAGGTTTAGCTAGTCCTGCAAGGAGCAAGGAGTTGGAAGAGACCCATCAGGATCAAGTCCAACTTGAGATATTCTGTGACTCTTGGGCAGAGGTCTCTCAAGAGAGCTTAGACATAATACACAGAGGAGAAAACTGGAGGTTTTCCCTTGGGTCAGAGTGCCTGGGAGTTAGGATAGGTCATCATAGGATGAGAAGTTGAAGTGCTTTTTATGTCTGATTCAGAGCAGAGTGGTGAACCAGATTCCTTATTTCAGAGTGTACTGTATTTTTAACAATACCTGTGTGAGCTGTTGCATTACCATGAGCAGAGCAGTGGTTAGTGTCTGCCATGCTTCTAGTTGTGTGCCTAGGCCTGTCATTTTGCCAGAATATTGAATGATTCTTAGTTCATGGAAAAGGTCCCCCTTTACTCCATATGTAATCATTTGGGTTTGGGTGTTTTTCTCAGATGCAAAAATTATGTTGTGATTCGCAGCTGAACCAAGAAATCTACAATTCTGTTCTTTGGCTTCTGGGGAGAGAGAAAGGGAAGAGCTTTGTGTGTATTGACTGCCCAGTTACCAACTGGTATTTGAAAACAAACAAGCAAAGTCCAACAAAAAAACCCACATGAGAAATACATATCTATCTCCATCTTGTTTTCTCTAGCTGTTGCTGAATACACAAACACACACACGCCTGCATGTGTGTATATATACCTGTTGAATATATTGTAATCTTAGGACCTTCCATACAAAGAATTGCTAGGCAATTATCAGTTTCAAGATGAAAAAACCAGCATAGCTCTGAGGAACTGCTAATCTATTTCACTGTTTTGTCTTTGCTTGGCTGACATTATGTAGGATTATATACACCGTTTAGTATACTTGTGAGGAATACTTAAAGGAATTCTCTTCCTTGATGATGACAGGCGAAATGAATATTAAAAGATTTAAACTTCATTAAAAGATGCAGATTTTAGAAAGCAGAACTGAAATTATCTTGGAGCATCAGGTTGGTTTTTACAGAGGGAATTTATTGGCAGTCAGCCTTGACTGATACTTCTGATCTTGTTGTAATGGATTCAGACTTCCCTGCAAAAAATTGCCATGTGTTTGTATAAAAGAAAGAGCATTTTGTCATCCTGTGACTGAGCAAGATTGGAATATCAGTTCCTTGGTTTTCCTCCTTCACTGATACAGATAAAAGCAAACATCTAGGAGGGGAAGGTTGTCCTCGTAAACCCGTGACTCAGGAAGCCAAGGCTCACTTCCTTGCTCTGGTGTTGGCATGTTTGTCACCTTGACTGAATCACTTTAATTGCCTGCAAAACAAGAAAGATAGATGAGAATGAATGTAGTAGTGACTGTGAGATTGCAATCGATTGTGAAATCGTGATTAATCGTGAGATTACAGGAGTAATACAAGTAAAAAATCCAGAGGTCTGGCATGAGTTGAGATCAGGGAAGAGCAGCATAATATGGGTTCTCTCAAGTCTTTCACTGTAAATGATGTTGAAGTTGCCAAGGTCAGCAAATTTAGAAACAGATTGCTGCTGAACTGCTGTGGTAGGGTTTTTCTTTGTTTTAAAGAAAGGGGGAGAAATCCAGTTGCTTTTGGAACCGAATGAGGAATACTAATCTTTTTTTTCTGTGTGCATCGTTATTGCAAAGTTTTCTTGAAGAATAAACCTGCTTCTTTCAAGTATTTGTTAATATTTGTAATGATCTCTTAAGGAGTTGTTTTCTGCATGTGTCTTGTAAACATCAGGTCTGCCCAATGAGTAAGACTCCCCACGTGGACCCAAACAAGTCTGGCCATGAAGTCTGGGAAGAGTTTTCCCTGAGTTTTACCCCTGCGGTGAAGGAAGTGGTGGAGTTTGCCAAGCGCATCCCAGGTTTCCGAGATCTCTCCCAACATGACCAGGTTAATCTTCTGAAGGCTGGGACCTTTGAGGTGAGACCACTGTGTGTCTATTGTGGACCTGACAAGCGGTGCATCAGTTTGACCCCCTGAAAAACAAAAATAAATAGAACTGGGTTATGTGGGCAAAATCAGCTTGTTCATGGATGCTAGCTCTGAGCTTTATTTAAGCTGATAGTGTCCAGTGTTTCTGTTTGGTCAGATCTTGGTGAACGGTCCCTCTTCCAACTAGCTCAAAATTGCTCAGCCTTTCTACCCTTTCTTCTTCCCTGGGCATGAATAAATGAGTAATGAGGATTTTCTTGGGTTTGTATAGGAGTGATTACTGTGATAGCTACCTTTACTTAGCCTGGAGAAAAGCACAGTGCATCTCGAAGGGTGGCTAGTTTAGAAAGTTACCTATTGGCTTACCGGTTTTGTAGGAGAGTGTGTGTATCACTCTGTAGGTCCTTCCTTCTTCCACTGTGCTCCCTGCCAAAGCCAGAGCATCCATCCTGACCAGTCACCACTAGCTTTTGGTGGCAACTGGGGGTTGCTGAAGCCTCCATCTCCGATGCAGTGACACTGATAACTAGCTGTAGTACTGCTGTACTGTAGTACTGTAGATACCGTACCACCTGCAGCCTGACTTACAGACTAATCCCGCCAAGTCCTCGTGGTTCATTTCATCCACTTGTGGTCATGACGTATATACGAATTAGTGGTGTTAAATTGGAAATGATACTGGAGAGCTTGATGCTGTTTTATAATTGGTGACCTTCACCAGGAGACCTTTACTTAAGGTTTTAGTTGCTCTTCCAAACTCTTGCATCTGTTGGAGACCGTGCACGTTTTATGTGTATTCAAATGCCCAGTTTAAACATAGAGGGCTGGTGGAGCTGAAATCCCAAGTATTCAGTGTTACGTGCTTTTCTGAGGAAGGCAGGACTGGTGATGTTTTTGCTCTTGTTTACTTGATTTATTCATTCAAAGAGAAATGCTGTATTTACTTGAACTGAAGCCATTTCTTGTGTAATGTGACGGGTCTTTCACCTGCATTTATATAGCCTGGTTCTAAAATGGGTAATTGTTGGGTTGGAAAGAACAAGTTACATTGCAAGACTTGGTGCCTGGAGTGTGTCAGTTTCTTTGTTTCTCTTATTTTGCAGTCATGTATTTTTTGCCATTATACTTACTCTTGACCTTTTACTAGTCATCTACAGCTCCTGGAGCTAAGAGCTGTAGTTTCACTTTTTCAGCTACTGCTTGTTATATTGCTGTTCACATTACACAAAACTGTTGGTTCCTTGCTCTGCAAAGTGGTATGCTGTTCAGTGCCTGCAAGGAGGGTAGAGAATCAAGCTTGAACTGGTCCTATAATGCAAAGTCAAATCTTCATGTTTTTCACGTAAAATGTTTGGTCCTGGCCTTTCTTCACCTCAGGCTTTTCTCAAGCCTCATTCATATGCCTTTTTGCCAGTTACAGGCACTGCTCATAAGAAGGTTACTATATCCAAGAGAATTAATAATAATGTATGGCTGCATGCTTATCCCTATTCACTTATAGGAAAAATTAATGATTTCTGTTACTGAGCTGGTACTTGTAGTTAAAGGCGTATGTGGCATCTTAGCAACAAGGAAAAAAAAACCCACCAAAAAACCAAGCCCAACAAACAAACAAATGAAAAAATAATGCTGCAGAGGAGTGGAAAAAACCCAAACCCAGCAGGATTTATGAAACCATTGCAATAGATGCAAAAGCATCTTGAAAGCCTGATAGATACAAGGTCACTTCTTTCTTCTGGGTAACTAAACTAGGATATCCCAACATCTGCATGTTAATAGAAGTATCTGAGGAAAAGTACTGTCTTTGAGCCCATTTTGGCTCCCTTGGGCACCTGTGTGTGGCCGTCTTGGCACTGTGCTTACCACTAGCTCATATTCAAGGAATGCTTGTTCGTCTGGGGGCAGGAAGATGCATGGAGATGATGTTGGTGCAGAAGCAGCATAGCTGTATATAATCACACATATCTAAGCTAAAAAGCCCTCTTAGAACTGGGAGTACTGGGGACCTCCTTATATGGTGGTGGCATCTGCATGGCTTTTATGTGAGCCAGGTCAGAAACAGCAGTGAGCCTCAAATAAGGTGTTCAACTGGATTTTTAGTGGGTCCTCCCTGAGATCCAGGAGCCCCCACTCCAAATGTAGTTGATGGCAGAGCCAAGAAGGACCTTGGTTCCATTGAGGTAGTGAATCAGTTTCTCCACAGACTCAAAACTTGTTAATTTGGTTGCATGTGGGGAGGAAGTGAGCAAGTACTTGCCTATGTAAAGGCTTTTATGTGCTTATATTGCTATGGTTAGGTGATAGGTTTGATCAGGTATATCCTCAGCATGCACAAATAGGAGTCTTAAAGTGAAATGGGATGAACTAATCATGTGCTATGCCATAGTCTAAACCATTCTTCCTTGGGTTAGAAAGGTGACATTGAAATCTATAGGTGAGGTCTTTGCCTTAGTGTAAATCAACACAGCTTCACGGGCTTCAATTTTGAATATCAGTGTTAATGCTGGTTGCTCATTATTTAAAGTTAATGTTTCTAGAGCCCAGTTCTGTAAGGGAAATAACCATTTTTAACTGAAAGGTTGAAGTACCTGGTAGGTCCCTGCTAATGCACAAGTTCAGCTCTGTCTGCCTGCCGTTTGTGTCCTTGTATTCTGAGGGCTTCTGCACCTAGATTTCTGCACGCTGTAGTTAATGTCATCAAAGGACACATAGCTTAGCTGACAAAGGTGAACAATATATAGTGCTCATGTGTCCATCAAGATTGCTGCATGTCATTTGGAGCAGGTCATTTAATGTGCATGAATGGTGTTTAAATTCTCAAACATCATTTTTTTTAAGCCCTCCTGTTTTAAGCTTGTCAAAAGCACCAGTCTTTGCTGAAAACCTGGTTCTGTTCTCAAATGTAGTACACATTTAAATTCATGCAGTTATGTAGGGTAAGTGACAAGAGATGACTTTCACACCAAGAGATTACAAGAAGTCTGAAGTTTTAACCAGTGCCAGTCGGTTCATTTTCTCCAAATAAGAAGGCTGTTCTGTGCAACTTAAACCTTGGAAATGTAAATAAGGTTGTTGAACATGAGCAAATGAAACTTTACAAGCCATTCCAGAGGGAAACGTTTCACAGTACGACTGGGAAACCACAAGAGAAATTTCAGCCCAGAGGGGTAAGTTTGGCACATGTCAACTGCTCCAGCCAGGTGCTTGTATCAAAGGGGTATTCCCAGCTGCAGCTACAGACCAGGTGCTGTTTCAAGCCCTGCTTCCCTTGACTTTTGAAGGCCGTACCTGTGGCTTCTTTCTACCAAAGCTCATTAACATTCCTGTGGGTACAGTGATGCAGCATGGTACTTTCCCAAAGAATGCCTAGTGGTCCAGATCCTTAGGTGGTGTAAATCAGCATTGTTTCAATGGAGCTGCTCCAGTTTATGCCAAGCAAGAATCTGGTTCAGTATCTTCATTTTGCTCTTTGTGAGTGTGGCAAAGAAAACCTTTCTTTTAATGCTCTGTATGCCTTTGGCTGTTCAGTGGCTTAAGCAAGTTGACCTACTGGCATATTTATGAATGGCATTGTCTTTGTGGCTCAGGCTGTCTGAGGCTTACATTTTAATTTTCCTCCCTTTTGTGTGCTGTAGCCCCTCCCCTGCATCCCACTGGCTAATTTCTTCACTTGTTTGTTTCTCTTGTACTACTGGGTCAGAGCTTGCACTGGTTTTGACAGGTCAATAGCATGCTGTCAGTTTTCTGTATAGAATGCTTGTACAGCAGGTAATGAGACAGCTGGAATGATGTTAGAAGGTTTAATTCTTTCTTTGGCTTTCCTAGAATTCCACCTATATTTATGTGGTTTTGTTGTTCTGTTTTTTTCTCTCACCAGGTTTTAATGGTACGGTTCGCTTCTTTGTTTGATGCAAAGGAACGTACCGTCACCTTCCTGAGTGGAAAGAAGTACAGTGTGGATGACCTGCATTCAATGGGAGCTGGTGATCTGCTCAACTCTATGTTTGAATTTAGCGAGAAACTAAATGCCCTGCAACTTAGTGATGAGGAAATGAGTTTGTTCACAGCGGTTGTCCTGGTATCTGCTGGTAAGGAGAGAAAGTTGACTTGCACCTTTGCTAGCTTTTAGATACATGTCTCTATTAGAAGATTCCTGTAAAATGTATATCTGTTCTTTCACATCTAAGTGCAACTTGGTAGGCTTTAAGCTACTAGCAGCCTGTAATTTACACCTACCTGCTTTTTTTGATACTGCCTTTTGGGAAATGTGACAGCAGGCTTGTATTTTCCTACTACTTTCTATACAATGCAAAAATGCATCTCATAGCTGCCTGATGGCCATTTAGAAGCTATTTTTCTGACAGCATCAGTGAAATGACTCCTGACTTGCACAGTTTAAGTCTTGGGAAAGGTGGTATTTTTACTTCCAAGTATTGTCATTGAGGTCTGTTGCATATTTTACTTAAATCCAAATCCAACAGCTTGATCTTTCCCTGTGTCAGCAAGAAAGCCCTATTCATCTGCGTTGTGACTTCTTACCACAAAAGGTCTGCCAATCCGCTAACATCTTTGCCAGCCTCATATCTTGTTTCAGTTACTGGATATACAGAACACCCTGGCCCAGATTCAAAGAAGGATTAAGCACCTACTTCTGTAGTATTATCTAAAGCCTCAAATTAGGCACATTAACTCTGCATATAATGCCTGAAATACAAGAAGCAGAATCCCTGCTTGCTGGGTAAGGAGCTCTCTAGAGGTACCTAACAGGAGTGCTAGTAGTGCCCACTTAAACAACAAGCCAGCAGTTGGGGGCCACTCGCTTCTCTAACAAGTGCACATCTGCCACATGGGTTGTTTAGACCCACATTTTCCTTATCAGGAAGGGGCACCCCAGGCAAGGTGCTGTAGGCACAAGAAGCCTCTGTAGACAAGGTAGGACAGTTTAGTCTGATAGCTTTGTGTGTGACCTAACTGAAAAATATTTTAACACAGGATGGGCAGCTGTAGCCTCTTCAGTTTGTAAGTGATGGTAATGAGCAAAGGGTGGTACAGACTTTGTAAGCTTCAAAAGCTAGAATGAATGGCAGTGTGAATCAAGCTTGGCACTGTAGTCTGAAAATGTTCAGTTAACAGGGAGAAACCTGGGGGTTTAATTGCTTTTCCAGACTCTGCTTTACAAATTTTATCTTAAAAAAAACTAAATGGGCAAGAACTGGAGATAATCTTTAAATGAGGGCTGAGAACCAGGCCTCTTCCCTCCTTGTGTAATGCTACAGCTACTCTTCTTGACTGCTCAGCTGCTGGGCCCTAGAATACCGCAATCGCTGTGTCACCTGTTTTGGATGTAAGTGGCTGTATCTATTCTGTTAAATGTGCTTCTAGCGCAGAGCCAGCCCCCGCCCCAGGCTTTTGAGCACTGCTTCAAGCTGTTGCTGACTCCCAGCAGAACTTAGCTTAGGGGTGGTCTGTAACATGCAGTACATAATGTCAGAGTTGTGCAAGAGGACAAAAAGAGGTGGTGTTTGGTATTCAGGCTTCTTGCAGCTGCTGAGGATTTATCAGATCATAGTTTGGACATCGTTGCTACCTAGCTTAGCTGCTTTGTGATCTGATGTGCAGTCTGATCGCAGTCTTCCTGGACATCTTCACAAGCTATTTCTAGGGTTTTATAAAATACAGCTTCATTAGTCTTTTAATGCTCATACTATATTCCAGACACAGTAGTAACCTTGACGGTCACTCGGTGTCCAGCAACTTTCAGATCAGCTTCAGTCTGTAGCTCGTAGCTGAATTGAAATGCTGCGGTTGTTACTTGCTCAAGTGAGTAAGTGAGCAAGCTTCATACGTGAGCAGGTACCTAAGAAGAACAGAAGTGTCCCCAAAAGAGCTTTTTGGGAAGATGCTTGTGGTGCAAGTGCTTGCCAGTAGGAGAAGGTGCCAGTAGAACTAAAGGATTGTGGGCATCTGTTGATTAAATGTATCTCAAATGACAGATCCCCTGCACTCTACCCCTCAAAGTGGAGTGTGATCCGGAGAGTCACATCCCGTAAGGTGGAGGAAGAGCTCAATTAGAGAAGGAGGAAGAGTTCAGGAATAGCATCAGTGTAGATGACATGGAGATGCAGGCAAAGGCAAAAGATGCTGTAACTGGAAGAAGAACTGAAGGTGGAAGAATAAAGCCATTAAGATGACTTCATGTCAGAATGAAAGTTACTCAAGAAAAGATTGAAAGAAAGGAAGTAAAGTAGTCAAGATTTACATCAGCTCCAGAAGCAGATAAGAGAGTGGGACTGTCGAATCCTGATCAAGTGATTCAGAATGTAGCATACCATGCTGCACTAGTTAAAAATCTTTTAAAATAAAAGCAAAAAGAACCAAAACGTCCACAAACCAACCAACTAACCCAAAACTAAACACCAGTTGGGAAAAAAGAAATATTCATGTCTCTAAATAGTGCTAGTGGGGGGGACACTTGTCAGAAGCATCTCCACATAACACTGGATGAATAACCAGTCTTACAAGGGGTATTTAGAATGTGCAGAAAGAAGCAGGGGTAGTAGCAAGGAACGTGCATAACTGTGTACATCCTCTTGTTTTGGTGTCATATGGCAAAGAAAGGAAAAGCAGGGCTGTACAGTGAAGATGTCGGAGTATTTCTGGTGGTGCTGAGGAAATAGCATTCCAAAACTAAAAGAACATTTCACTTCTGGCTTCAGTTACCTGGATGTGTTGAAGATGGAGGGGAGATAGCAATTTGGATTATGGGCATTAAAGAAGGAAGAAGCAAGGTGGAAGCAAAGCTGAAAGAATGTGGTTTGTGCGGGGCTAGATACCAGATAACCTCTTAACTGAGGGTGATACTTTGCGGTAGAAGAATGTATAGTACACACCCTCTATTATTCTTTCTTATTGGGATAGTACTAACAGAAACTTCTGCTGGCCACTGGGAGCAACTGGAAGTAGGCTAAGAGGGAAGGAGAAGAAAGACTTGGACTAATTGAAGAGAGGAGGCTACAATAACTTACTTGAGACAGCCAGGGAAGATTGGACTGCGTTTTTCTGCCTTCAGAGGCAGGGCAGTACTGTTGCCACTCTGCAGAGCTCTTGAGAAACCTCATCTGGCATATTATGTTGTCATCTCTGCTCAGGATAGAATCAATCAGGTTGTGCAAAGGGGGGGGGGGCAAGTGGGCTAGATAGTTTAACAAATAAAGGCAGAGGGGTATCTCTTCACTCATGCTCTCATGGAGAGCAGCTATCAAACGTAATGACATTCTTCACAGAAGAGTGGCATGTGTGCTAAAACCTGTAATTTGATGTTAATCGAAGTTCCTAATTGTTAGAATAGAAGGTTCTGGAACAATCTGAAGGAACAAAATACATAAACTGCTTCAAGATGGATCCTTAAGTGGTTTATGTAATACTTTTTCCTGTAGCAGTAGGGACCTGCACCAGTCTGGTAGGACTTCTAGACTGTTCACCTGAGATACCTGATTGGATTGACACTGACAGCATAAAGAAGGGATTCCCACTCTGACTGTAGATCTGACTCAGTGTTACTCCAGAAAGCTGTTGTCATTCTGTGTCCCAGTTCTGTGAAGTGCTTAAGTACATGTACACATCAAAGCACATTTCTGTTCACGTCCGTCACTTGTGTATGTGTGTGCCCTGCTGAATTTACGTAGTGTTTAAGAAGACAGGATACAGCTTGGAAAAAACACCTGCTGTGCATGGTTGTTAGATGAGACATTTTGCTTAAAAAATCATCCTTTTAAGCTGGTGACTTAGGTTCCACCTAAGGACAACAGACATGTTCTTAAATAAAGCTCTCTGGAAAGAGATGTTTTGGGTGTGGAGCAAGTGCAGTAAGTGGAAGCACAATATTTTTCTTGATGTTGAACTTCTTTTCTTCCTCAGCTGGGAATTTTTGGGTGCATCATGTTTCATTTTGTAAGTGCTTCAGAACACACTCAGATATAGTGGGCAGTCGTGTCAAAGCTTGTACTCCCTTTGCCCTTGGGGCTCCCATTGTGCAAATACAAGTGTGGCTTGTCGTGAGTGGGATTTCCTACTCAAGCATGAACCTCCAGTTTAAGTTTAGGGTTCTGTGTCCAGCCTTGAGAAATGTTTGAGCTTTTTACTTCCACATGCCCTCTCTCCTTGCACTGAAAGTTGTGATTCAGCAAAACACTTAAACGTGTGCTTCAGTCTGTCCTTTGCTGGAAACATGGGTAAGTGATTACAGGAAAGGTGATTGAATACTGCCAGGTCAGCATGAGATGAATATTTTACAAAGTAAATAATGTTTGAAAGACTTTTGGTATTTGTGGGTTTGAGACTTCTGGCATAAGTATTTAATTATTCTTGTGCTTGTTAATGTAGTAAGTGATTCTTGCAGTGGTTTTATGTTGCAAACTACGTAACTACATCCATTCAGTCTTCCCCCTCTCTGTTTTTCTCTTTCTCTCTCTCTCACTCCCCGTCTTCTCCACCCCCAACCTGTCCACCCCTTTCTTTTTAGATCGTTCCGGAATAGAAAATGTCAATTCTGTGGAGGCGCTTCAGGAAACACTAATCCGTGCATTAAGGACCTTAATAATGAAAAATCATCCAAATGAAGCCTCTATTTTCACAAAACTTCTTTTGAAATTACCCGACTTGCGTTCCTTAAACAACATGCACTCTGAAGAACTCTTGGCCTTTAAAGTTCACCCATAGGCCTTTAGGTCTCATTTGTACTTGGACTTGCCTCGTGTTAAACTGTTTTGTGCTAAAATATGTATTTATACAGTTGTACCACTTGTTGGAAGAGAGAGAGTTCACAGACTCTGAACAATTGATAGCTGTCCCTTAACCATGCAATAACGCTTCAGCAGGTGCTTTCAGCTAGCGGTGGCGCAGCATTCAGGCTCCTCCAAGACATCCAGACCCAGCTGTGCTGCGCTTCTGCAGAAGAGGTTGTGATAAGCCCCAGTAAATATGGACTGTTCTTTCCTTTAGAAAAAAGAACCACCACTGCCCTCTCATGTAAACTGAACACAGAATAGCTGTGTATGTGCATACGGAGCATGGAATGGGGTGGGAACAATCCTGCGCTAGTAGGAACATGGAAGAGCTGATTTAATTGGTCTTTCACTTATCTGATAGGTGTATGTCTGTGTCTTTTGATAACTCACTCATGGTTTCCACTGTTGTTATTCCATTAAACCCGGTGGAATGATTTCAGCCTGCACCAACTCTTCACTGAGCATGTGTTCATGCCATGTGTATATAATATAAATAGTTAAGTAATGAGTGTTTATGGCTATAAAGTACAGAGTTGTGTGTATATATGTGTATGTATATAAATAGTTCTATACATAAAGTATACATATAATTTCTTCACAATATTTTAAACTGTGAAGGAATTGAAACTTACAACAGAAGGTGATCTATGGAAAGAACCAAATAGATGCACTTTGCATATTGCTGAACTAATTATCTGAGCATTTTTTAGAAAACATCCAATTTGCATTAATATGCTGTGTTTGTTAATTTGAAAAAACAAAACCAACATCAAAACAAACAAAAAGACCAAGACCAAACCCAGAATGGCACCAAAGGGGCAGAGCGAGATTCAGTTTATAGAAGGGGTTCTTAGAGAATCTCAAGTGGAGAGCGTTGGTTGTGGCAATACTGAGATTGATTGTCCATTGCCACTGAGGTTCTTAAGTTCTGATAAAGGTTAAAGAAGCACCAGATGCTCTTCAAAAACTTCAGCACAGCCAGAAAGAAGCTATCAGATGAATAACAGCATCTATCAGAGGAAAAAAAAAGTGGGAAAAATGCATCCATGGTTGCGTTTGGGTGTATGTGTGTTCTGTGACTGTTTATTTCTCGCAATACGTCATTTTGCTGCTTCATTGCTAAATGAGAATTGAAAACAAATGTGAGATTTCCCCATGTCTTTTCACAATTTGGGCGTTGTGGTTCCCATGCCTGTTCTGGAGCTCTCCATTGGTGCGTGTGCATGTGCGTGTGTGTGTATGTGCAGAGAAGGTGCACTGGATGGTCTGGATTTTTTTCTTTAAAAGCCACCACAAAACCCAGCCAAATAAACGGGACTTCTTTTTTGTTGTTTATGCCAGTAGCAAATTACAAAGCAGATCCTCAAGGCTTAAGATTCTGCTGCTTTTCCGTCTAGGAAAGTGGCTCTATGTTTCTTTTTTTTTTTTTCCTTCCGTTTGTAGCAGGACCTGGCACCAGAAAAGAGAGACTTTTAAAAGTCAAAGCAGTTGTGTTAATTAGCTATGTTTATGTTTTGCTAATGTGGGAAGAAGCAGCTCCATTGCCCTTGTGTTTAGTTAGCTTACCTTAGAGGTAGCCCTCTGGGACTGTAGTGTTTGGTAATGCTACTCTGCAGAGGGAGAGACCTCTCTGGTTGTTGCTGTGTTCAGACATATGTAGTAGTTGAGGCCAGGAGTCAGGAAGCCGCCAGGCTGCAGGGCTCTTCCTTGCTGTGCAGGAGCAGCTCTGGCACATGAGTGATTTTGTGGGAGCCCTTGTGTCTGCTGTGGAGCTGGAGCAGAGGCAGACCTTGGCCTGCCCCTGAGCATCAGGAGCTGGGCAGAGGAGGGGAGGCTTGCACCCTGCCATGGCTCTGGTCACCTTTGGGCTGCGGTTTTCCCCTCACACAGTGTAAGGAGTGCTGGCCAGGGCCCTGAGAGCAGGAGGGGGCATGTGCTTCAGCACATTTGGCTTTAGCTTTGGCTAAGGAGCAGAAGAGCCCTTTTCCTTCCTCCTCCACTGCTGCAGGGAGAGCTGTCCTCCTGCATCAAGCTGCTTGAATCACTGGATAATGGCCCCTTCATTCATACAGTTTTGCTATCCACGGCATACCGTCCTCATCTCTGTTAACAGTCTGCATCCTACCAGTATTATTTGTTTGAGAACTTCACTGAATGACACATTGAACCATTCAGACTTTAGAAAGGACAGTCATGTTTTGTATTGTTTAGGAGCTGAAACTACTTCTCTTTAGACCCCAGTTCAAATGTGGAAAGTACAGTTAACCATTGGTTGTTTTGGGAGGGAAGGAAGCTTCTTACAGAGATTGCCACCCTACAACTGTGTTTTGTTGTGTTTTGTTTTATTTTATTTTCTTAAAACTGTATTATTAAGCCTTTAGGAATGTATAACCAGGACCGAGTAATGACTGCTTATTAAATTTTTAGTTAGATTGACCACGTATGCCTATAGATAGATACTCTAACTTGTGCAATTTCATTTGAGATAATCTTCCTGTATATAATGGAAAAATTCGTATAACAGAGGAAAAAAAAGCCCCAAACACATTGACTGAACAAAAAAGGTGATTAAAGTACGGTTCAAAAGTGATCCATGTATTACAAACCCTAGCTGGACTCTTAGAAGAAAATCTAAAGTCATTGTGTTAGCTGTGTATTGTGAGCTCTTCTTTTACTGTGTCACTGGTTATACACTTGTTAAACGCTGAGATAATAGACTTCATGCCAGGCATTTGAGTACTGTAGATTGGGTCATTGCTGAAAGATTAATGTACTGTATGACTTAAATGAAATTTTTATTCTTGATTTTATTCTTGATTTTGTTCTTGTTTTGAAAGATTAAATATGGGCATTACGTCAGCAAGTGAAACCGTGCTTCTGTGTTCTTTGTATGAAATCTAGAGGGGAGGGCAGCACGCTGAGATGAACAAAGCCAGGTAATGGATGAGAACGTCAACTGCTCTAAGGTGACAGGAGCTGCACTGGTGCGTCTTGGTCCACTTGTGATATGCATCTGCCCTGCCAGGGGGTTGGATGGTGCACTTCATTTGCTACGGTTAATGGGCTTTTTTGGGTATTATCAGTAAAAGTGGTAGTTATTTTAAACACCTTAATTACTTTCAGGAATTTACCTTTGTAACTGAAAATGGGATACAGTTCAGTGTCTGGTAAAAGACAGTCTTGAAGAGAGGTAGATGGAAAACAGCATGTGAAGGGCAAATATCTGTTCGATTTTTATGGCTTCATTTCTTAGTTTGAAGTGTTTACTGGTTAGGAGATGACAAGCTTCTCAGGAAATGTTCTGTCTATTGGTGTTTAAGAACAAAACAACCCCCCCAAAACAAACAAAAAATTATTACTGCCAGCACTGGGGAAAATAACAGCACAAAAATGCTTTTTATATTCTTGGAACATTTTCTCTAGTGGCACATTCACATATGGCTTTGCTTGTTGCCACCTGTGAGTAGGGCCATGAGCCGCAGAGGTCCCAGGGCCTGGGAGGTCCTTGGGAAGAGCTCTTTACAGCTTCCGCTGAGATGCTCCAGGAGTAGTTTTTGCCTGTTTGGCTGCAAGAGTATTACAGCAAATGTGGGGGATGGGAGGGGTGTTCCCAGTAAAAACATAATTCCATTCCCCCCTTTCCCACTCTCCCAGTTTGCTAAGATGCTCTGGGGATGGGGACATGAAATGTTTGTGCTTGTTTGTGGTAAACATACTGGGCTTTGAGTCTACAGCACCAACTCGAGAGTGAACGTGCCTGCAGCAGCATGCCCCATCTCTGTCCTCGCTCCACAAGGAAATAAATGGTCAGTGTCGCAAGGAAAACAGAGGTATGAGTGTCACTGTGAGAAAGTATAAACTGACAAGGGTGTGGGCTACTTCTGCTCGGGCTCATGACCCATGGGCTGCGTGTGGGGTGGGAGAGAATCAGCATTTACAGCTGA